CGAGCACGGTGCGCCGTGGGTTGCTGGTGCTGCAGGGCACGATGGGGCGCGGCTGCGGGCGCTGCGGAGCCGGAGCAGAGCCGCAGCGTCCTCTCCCGCGGGCGTGGCCGCAGGGCGTAGGCAGCAGGGCGGCGTGGCAAGGCGGGGCCGGCGAGCACGGTGCGCCGTGGGCTGCTGGTGCTGCGGGACGCGACGGCGCACAGGCACATCAACAGAAGACGCGTCGGTGCACGGGCGACATGCTGCAGATGTGCGAGCTGCGTCGAGTGCGGCGACCGGCCGCAACTGCTGATGGCGCCGGCTTGCTAGCTAGCTAGCCAGCCCGTGCGCGTGCGCGTGCTTGCTTGCTAGCTAGCGAGCCGCCGCGGGTGCATGCTAGCTTGGGCTTGCAGGGCGAGAGCGGCCGGCGCGCGAGCGTGCAGATGAGCGCTATCGGCGCACGGGCATGTAGACGGGCGATGCCGGCGTGCGAGCACGGGCGAGGCATGGTGGGGTCTAGGTCGGACAGTTTGCGATGGATTGTTCTCGTTGCATGCACAAGTTGACGAACGACCCAAACCGAACGCGTATGTCCGTTTTTCTATCTAAATGGACAAAATTCGAATAAAGACGGACGTCCGTTTGAGGTCACGCTCACGTTTTTTGCCCATCTTTTGTAGAAAAAAATTCTATGAGACCAGGTCTCACGGGTTAGCAGGTGAGAGACCTGGTCTCATATAATTTTTTTTCGATGCGGATCGAGCTCTCCGCCTATACCGGTCAAGTTCCAACTGCCGCCCGCCGGCACCCCCCAAATTTCGCCAGTCTTTCATCAGCGCCTGCCCCCTGGCGGGCTCCTCGTCCTCCTCCTTCCCTGCGCGCCCACCTTTGTCGTTGGTCAAGAAATTCGTCAATGGAAAACATCGAGATGGCCAGCCAACGACGAATTCCCGGAGACTCTTTCGCCCGCGCGCTTGCGCGGACGGGTTCTTCTTCTTCTTCTTCCCTCCGCCGCATCGTCTGATGTCAACCGCTACAAGAAGAGGGAAACGGGCCTGGAAAGATCGTGGGGTCGCAGGTTGGTTACACACCCCTTCTCCGCATTTTGCGTAGTGGCATGACTACTTGTGGATGGTGGTTGATTCGCCTTCTTGTTTTCTCACAGCCGTGCCGAGGGGAGGGGAGGAGGTGATCAGGCAAATCGGTGCTTCTTTTCCGAGGAGCTAGCTTTGCTACAGGTTTGATCTTATCCCGGGATCTGATGTGCATGCGCGCTCCTCTCGTGAACTTGTGGTGACTAATTTCGCACCATGAAGGCCAAAGCCTCGGTGGCTGGGGGCGGCGAATAGTCGAGCGCCTTGTGCGCACTGTGTTTGTGCCACCAATGGAAGCCACCATGCCCTGATTGCACTAGGCAGGGTTGCGAATAACGCGAAGGGGTTGCTGTTCCTCCTTTATTCTTGCAACTTCCACTTGATACTGAACCTGCAACAATTTTGCAACATAACTGCACGGCATTCCCCTTGTCTGCCGTGGCGCAGTGTCACGCATATCTTTACTGCAGCCCATGTTATCACTTACACTGTTTAAGCAAAAGAAATGTGATGTCTGGTGAATTGTTGATTATGGCATCGCCATATTTAGTTAGTTTGTTTACTTATTAGTGGTATATAGTTTAATCGAGGACCTCTATTTCCGTTCGTACCTTCGGTTGTGTGCTGATAATGACGGATTGTTCTAGTTTTGCCTCGTCCTATTTTATTATGTTTGTGTTGAACATCCAGGCATCCAGCAATTGGCATTATAGGTTCATTACCTTAACCTTACAATCACGTGATTGTTCTAGGACACGATATCTCTCTTGAACATCTACAGCACAAAGGGCGCATGTTCTGTGAGTAAGAGTAACAAAAATGAATCAGTTTAGATTTTCATCACCTAACAAGATTCTTACTCAAACTGTGTATTTTCCCAAATAGTCAAATTTCATAACTTAGCTGATGCTAAAGAACCCTTGTTCCTGGGCTGCTAGTCTACAATATAGAAACAGGTGCAAGTATTGCCTTAACCATCTCTTCGATGCTCAAGGTTCTTGAATGTGGTGATTGAAAGTTTATTGTTTCTTTGACAAATAGACACGCTTGTTATAATTTATTTAGTGGTTTCTTAAATCTATTCGGTGGATGGATTGACAGATCAAAACTCGGGAAGCGATGCCATCTCCATCAGCACCTATTCGTGTGGCAGTTCCACCACCCTATGTAACATCGCATGGAGCTAAAATTGCAAGGCTACATATGTATGACTGGATTGTGCTGGTTATTCTAGTTGTGGTGGATGTAGTACTAAATAAAATAGAACCATTCCATCGATTTGTTGGATCGGACATGCTAACGGATCTCCGATATCCCATGAAAGACAACACGGTGCCATTTTGGACGGTGCCGGTATATATTTTGAACTCTTAGTTCTACCCTGTTTATTTTCATGAACCTCCTAAGTACATTGTCTTGAATTATCGTGATTGTGCAGATATATGGTATCATTGGACCTATGATTATCATGACCAGTATATACATCATGAGGAGGAATGTCTATGATTTGCATCATGCCATACTAGGTTCATTCATATTCTTCTGTGCAAGTTTGTGATATCTTATTCTTATGCAATTAATCTGAAATCTAGCTTGTCCTACCAGGTCTCCTCTTTTCAGTGGCTATAACTGCAGTTTTAACTGATGCGATTAAGGATGGTGTTGGTCGGCCACGTCCAGATTTCTTTTGGCGCTGTTTTCCTGACGGAGTACCTGTAATGTGCTCACCTTCGGTTGATCTTTCAATGATTGTTTGAGTGGAGCCCTTCGCACGATTTCATCTGACCTTTCTGTGCAACTTATGGCTTTGCTTGATGTTCAGGCCTATGACAATTTTACTACGGGCGTCCTGTGTCATGGTAAAGCGAGTGATATCAAAGAAGGTCACAAGAGTTTCCCAAGTGGTCATACTTCTTGTAAGTGAAAGCATGTTCGTCAGTTCCCTTTTACCTCAGCAATGCAAAAACTATGATTGCTGATACTCTAAACTGCAAGAGCTTTTACATGCTACCTGTTCTTGAGGTGAACGACTCACAAATTTTCTGTTTCTCAGTGTCTTTTGCTGGCCTCGGGTTTCTGTCATGGTATCTAGCTGGTAAAATCAAAGTTTTTGATCAAAGAGGCCATGTTGCAAAACTCTGCATTATTTTTCTCCCTCTGCTTGGTGCAGCCTTAGTGGCTGTTTCTCGAGTAGACGACTACCGGCATCATTGGCAAGATGTGTGCACTGGTGGAGTTCTGGGTAGGTCTGACATGGTTATCTATTAAAGATTACGTTGCGAAACAAATAAAGATAGAAGTTAAAAGTGTTGTACACGTAATTCTTGATAATCTAATGTGTTAACTAAAATTCTGCAGGACTGGTGGTTGCTTCTTTGTGCTACCTGCAATTTTTTCCTCTGCCGTCTGACGAAAATGGTATGCTTCATACTTCTTTTAGGGTAACTCACAAGACCCCACAGAGTTAGGGAATAGTTCTTAGAAACCACTGGTGTCGATTGGAAAGTGCTTTGCAATGTGAAAATTGGCATCAAGATCTAGCCTTCAAGCATTATAACCACACTCATTTGTACAAAATCATCAGAGCAAAGGTTTTCATTGTGTGTTCTGTAATATACTTGGGTTGTTATGCGGCACTGATGATACAGTAGCATGTATGAAAACAGATAACGTGGAGGTTTTGTGTCCAATTTCCAGTTCCGTCGTATAATTTGGTAACTCTTCGACAATATCCCTTGAAGTGCTCAGACTAATCTTCATCTTTTGTTACCACAATTGACAATGGGTGCCCTTCACACCAAACAATTTTTACTAATCTAGTGCCATGCACATAGCGATAGTATGGCTAACCAAGCTTTTCAACCTCATTTTTCGGGCAAACAAGATGCCAGAAGAATGGAGACGGAGTATATTAGTACCAATCTTCAAGAACAAGGGGGATGTCCAGAGTTGTACTAATTACCGTGGAATTAAGCTGATGAGCCATACAATGAAGCTATGGGAAAGAGTCATTGAGCACCGCTTAAGAAGAATGACAAGCGTGACCAAAAATCAGTTTGGTTTCATGCCTGGGAGGTCGACCATGGAAGCCATTTTCTTGGTACGACAACTTATGGAGAGATATAGGGAGCATAAGAAGGACTTGCATATGGTGTTCATTGACTTGGAGAAGGCCTATGATAAGATACCGCAGAATGTCATGTGGTGGGCCTTGGAGGAACACAAAGTCCCAGCAAAGTACATTACCCTCATCAAGGACATGTACAATAATGTTGTGACAAGTGTTCGAACAAGTGATGTCGACACCGATGACTTCCCGATTAAGATAGGACTGCATCAGGGGTCAGCTTTGAGCCCTTATCTTTTTGCATTGGTGATGGATGAGGTCACAAGGGGTATACAAGGAGATATCCCATGGTGTATGCTCTTTGCGGATGATGTGGTGCTAGTTGACGATAGTCGGACGGGGGTAAATAGGAAGTTAGAGTTATGGAGACAAACCTTGGAATCGAAAGGGTTTAGGCTTAGTAGAACTAAAACCGAGTACATGATGTGCGGTTTCAGTACTACTAGCTGTGAGGAGGAGGAGGTTAGCCTTGATGGCCAGGTGGTACCTCGGAAGGACACCTTTCGGTATTTGGGGTCAATGTTGCAGGAGGATGGGGGTATTGATGAAGATGTGAACCATCGAATCAAAGCCGGATGGATGAAGTGGCGCCAAGCTTCTGGCATTCTCTGTGACAAGAGAGTGCCACAAAAGCTAAAAGGCAAGTTCTACAGGACGGCGGTTCGACCCGCAATGTTGTATGGCGCGGAGTGTTGGCCGACTAAAAGGCGACATGTTCAACAGTTAGGTGTGGCGGAGATGCGTATGTTGAGATGGATGTGTGGCCACACGAGGAAGGATCGAGTCCGGAATGATGATATACGAGATAGAGTTGGGGTAGCACCAATTGAGGAGAAGCTTGTCCAACATCGTTTGAGATGGTTTGGGCAATTCAGCGCAGGCCTCCAGAAGCTCCAGTGCATAGCGGACGGCTAAAGCGTGCGGAGAATGTCAAGAGAGGGCGGGATCGACCGATTTTGACATGGGAGGAGTCCGTTAAGAGAGACCTAAAGGATTGGAGTATCGACAAAGAGCTAGCTATGGACAGGGGTGCGTGGAAGCTTGCTATCCATGTGCCAGAGCCATGAGTTGGTTGCGAGATCTTATGGGTTTCACCTCTAGCCTACCCCAACTTGTTTGGGACTAAAGGCTTTGTTGTTGTTGTTGTTGTTGTAGTGCCATGCACATGGTGAGAAATGCTTATATTTGATGCATTTTTATTGTGGTTTAATATGTTATAAACTACTAGGTTGATGTTGCAGGGCTATCTCATATCCTACTGTAATCTGCTCTGTTCGCAAGCTTAAGATCGTTATCTTCTTTCATCTTTGTCAAGATTATTGATACATTGTTCATTGACAGGTCTATGGCCTCACGCAGACATCCAGCACATTCATAATCTGGAAGGGGGACACACAAGTGCAACCCACAGCAATGGATCACCAAAACTCGGTGCAGAACGGTTTGTTTGAAGGTTCTGATGGACTAGAGACGAGGGCTAGATTCCATGAGGTTGGTCGTAGACAGCAATAACGGATTACTAACATGAATAGGATGGTTGCTAAATATCGGATGTGTTTTCAATAGAACCTGAAAACCTGAGGTACTATGTAGACCTTTCAGGTCCGACTTAATATATTCCTCATATATTAGGCTATCAAGATAATTCTCAGGATGATTGTTCAGATATTGCTTTTAACATGGGGTAGAATATTGATAGTATAATGTTAAGTTCCTGATGATCTGTGACCCCTGTTATTTGTGACTGCACCTTTTATCCTGGAGGTTGTAGCAAGTAGGTAGAGGATTTTGAACATCATTGTAGTCTTACCCTTGAAGTTAAACAGGATAAATCCTCAACAAAGCCCAGCTTTGCATGCTAGCCAGCTACAGTTTTGCCCTTAGCAGATTATGGTAGGTATACAGTTTTTCTTTTCTGGTTAACTGTCACTATATCCATCTGACTGATCCCGAATAGGCTTTCAGATCCCAAAACGTTTTTGGAGCGAGCTGAAATATAGCCCCTCCATCCCAAAAGATTCAGCCAAACCCACGAGCGTCAAAATGCCTCCAGGTTCCATGATTCCTAGTGGGAACGAGTATTCACGCCCTAGCACCTGCCCTCTAGCCGCCCGGCACCATGCTCCGACCACCGTGCTACTGAGAATCGAGTCTGAAGCCTCCACCGTGACCCCCACAACGGCGCCCTAGGAGGGGCTATGGTCAAGCGCCACCGGCTTGTAGCATGCTTGTGCTCACGGGACAGGATTTCTGACAGGCAAGTGCTTTTGAATATAAAGTACAAATTAAGTTATGTTTTCATATCCGTGTTTCTCGTGACTAGGACTTTCAAATAAGATCCATTTTGAATACGTTTCGATGAATTTTAAAAATAAATGTTAAGTTTTAACTCTTGAAACTTAGTACGCACCAACGATAAAATCATAATTTTTTTGCCTACGCTCGCCAAAAAAATATCTTAAAATTTATCTATGAAACTTGTAAAACAGAGCGAGAAAATCACAAGTTCCAGATAAAAAAGCATAAGTTTCAACGACGGAAACTTAAAACTTATTGTGCCCTCGCACGGGATCGAACGACTTCACGAATCGTGAGGCAATCGAGCAGTCGGACAGGGCTTGGCAGGTGCGTGCCCCTTCGAATTTCCCTTCTGCCCACCGTTCCTAAAAGATACTATCAACATAAAGAAACTCATAGAGGAGCAAGACTCAATTCAACAACAACAAAAAGAAAAGAATAGATGGGCATCATAAGATCCAAGTCCATTAACAAAGCTCATGATACAAAGGTCAAAAGTTCTCACGCAGCTGCCTCCTCCCTCAAGAAAAGTTTAGGGTTCCTCTGCCTCCCGTCAGCGCCGCCGCCAGTCCACCTCGTCTCCGGTGGCCTTAGGGCCATGGCGGGGTGGTGGATCCCGGCCCTTGCCAGCGGGAGGGCTATGTTTCTAGATGTTCCTTTGAGTTTTTTAGGGTTTGTGTCCTGCTCAGGAAGACGAGAAGGCAGCGGCTTCCTGAAGATGGAATAAGGTTCTGCCCGCCTAGCCCCCATCCCGGTGATGTGTCTAGCATCGTCGGTGGGCGTGTGGAGGTGTGTCTCCGGCAGATCTGTCCTTGATAGATTTGCTCGGATCTGGTCGTAGTTCTGTGGCCGCATATCTCTCTGGACAACCCATGGGATATGCCTTTGGTTTTTTTTTGAAGTGGGGGCGGGAGAGGGGGGTTAATCATCTCCACGATAAATATCCAAGGAAGCAATGACCTGAGATAAATGTTAGCAACCATCATTACTTCTACTAACCACATTATCATCACACCAAAATACCATTTAGAGATAAATACACTTTCAACTTGTAACAATGACCAAATCAGAGCTTCTCGACAATGAAACAAGAAAATAGCTTGATGTCCTGCAATTGCACATAATTTAGTTGTAGTTGTTTTCAACATAAGAGTGTCGATCCCACAAAGGGCCAAGGAACTGGTCTTTTGCCCCTTATATAGATTTATCTGAGTGTGTTTGCAAGTTATATTCGATCCCAAGCAAAAGCGGTGTGAAGAAGGAAATATTGCAAGAGTATGTGTGCAAGAGCAAGAATTAAAGTGCAGAATAATACTAATTAAGAACAAGAGAGTAATGGGAATGATGAAAACTGAAGGAAATATGCCCTAGAGGCAATAATAATGTTATTATTTTATTTCCTTATATCATGATAAATGTTTATTATTCATGCTAGAATTGTATTATTCGGAAACATAATACTTGTGTGAATACATAGACAAACTAAACGTCACTAGTATGCCTCTACTTGACTAGCTCGTTAATCAAAGATGGTTATATTTCCTAACCATAGACATGTGTTGTCATTTGATTAACGGGATCACATTATTAAGAGAATGATGTGATTGACATGACCCATTCCATTAGCTTAGCACCCGATCGTTTAGTATGTTGCTATTGCTTTCTTCATGACTTATACATGTTCCTATGACTATGAGATTATGCAACTCCCGTTTGCCGGAGGAACACTTTGTGTGCTACCAAACGTCACAACGTAACTGGGTGATTATAAAGGAGCTCTACAGGTGTCTCCAAAGGTAAATGTTGGGTTGGCATATTTCGAGATTAGGATTTGCCACTCCGATTGTCAGGGAGGTATCTCTGGGCCCTCTCGGTAATGCACATCACATAAGCCTTGCAAGCATTGCAACTAATAAGTTAGTTGCGAGATGATGTATTATGAAACGAGTAAAGAGACTTGCCGGTAACGAGATTGAACTAGGTATTGAGATACCGACGATCGAATCTCGGGCAAGTAACATACCGATGACAAAGGGAACAACGTATGTTGTTATGCGGTCTGACCGATAAAGATCTTCGTAGAATATGTGGGAGCCAATATGAGCATCCAGGTTCCGCTATTGGTTATTGACCAGAGACGTGTCTCGGTCATGTCTACATTGTTCTCGAACCCGTAGGGTCCGCACGCTTAAGGTTTCGATGACAGTTATATTATGAGTTTTGATGTACCGAAGTTAGTTCGGAGTCCCGGATGTGATCACGGACATGACGAGGAGTCTTGAAATGGTTGAGACATAAAGATTGATATATTGGACGGCTATATTCGGACACCGGAAGTGTTCCGGGTGATTTCGGAGAAAACCGGAGTGCCGGAGGGTTACCGGAACCCCCCCGGGAGAAGTAATGGGCCTTATGGGCCCTAGTGGAGAGAGAGAGGGGCGGCCAGGGTGGGCCGCGCACCCCCTCCCCCTCTGGTCCGAATTGGACTAGGAGAGGGGGGCGCCCCCCTTTCCTTCTCCCTCTTCCCCTTCCTTTCCCCCTCCTAGTAGGAGTAGGAAAGAGGGGAGTCCTACTCCTACTAGGAGGAGGACTCCTCCTCCTTGGCGCGCCCTAGGGCCGGCCGGCCTCCTCCCCTTGCTCCTTTATATACGGGGGTAGGGGGCACCCCTAGACACAAGTTGATCCACGTGATCGTTTTCTTAGCCGTGTGTGGTACCCCCTTCCACCATACTCCTCGATAATATTATAGTGGTGCTTAGGCGAAGCCCTGCGACGGTAGAACATCAAGATCGTCACCATGCCGTCGTGCTGGATCGGAGTCTGGGGATCGTCATCGAGCTGAACGTGTGCTAAAACTCGGAGGTGCCGTAGTTTCGGTGCTTGATCGGTCGGGACGTGAAGACGTACGACTACATCAACCGCGTTGTCATAACGCTTCCACTGTCGGTCTACGAGGGTACGTAAATCACACTCTCCCCTCTCGTTGCTATGCATCACCATGATCTTGCGTGTGCGTAGGAAATTTTTTGAAATTACTACGTTCCCCAACAGTGGTATCAGAGCCTAGTTTTATGTGTTGATGTTATATGCACGAGTAGAACACAAGTGAGTTGTGGGTGATATAAGTCATACTGCTTACCAGCATGTCATACTTTGGTTCGGCGGTATTGTTGGATGAAGCGGCCCGGACCGACATTACGCGTACGCTTACGCGAGACTGGTTCTACCGACGTGCTTTGCACACAGGTGGCTGGCGGGTGTCAGTTTCTCCAACTTTAGTTGAACCGAGTGTGGCTACGCCCGGTCCTTGCGAAGGTTAAAACAGCACCAACTTGACAAACTATCGTTGTGGTTTTGATGCGTAGGTAAGATTGGTTCTTGCTTAAGCCCGTAGCAGCCACGTAAAACTTGCAACAACAAAGTAGAAGACGTCTAACTTGTTTTTGCAGGGCGTGTTGTGATGTGATATGGTCAAGACATGATGCTAAATTTTATTGTATGAGATGATCATGTTTTGTAACCGAGTTATCGGCAACTGGCAGGAGCCATATGGTTGTCGCTTTATTGTATGCAATGCAATTGCGCTGTAATGCTTTACTAAGAGGTAGCGATAGTCGTGGAAGCATAAGATTGGCAAGACGACAACGATGCTACGATGGTGATCAAGGTGTCGCGCCGGTGACGATGGTGATCATGACGGTGCTTCGAAGATGGAGATCACAAGCACAAGATGATGATGGCCATATCATATCACTTATATTGATTGCATGTGATGTTTATCTTTTATGCATCTTATCTTGCTTTGATTGACGGTAGCATTTTAAGATGATCTCTCACTAATTATCAAGAAGTGTTCTCCCTGAGTATGCACCGTTGCGAAAGTTCTTCATGCTGAGACACCACGTGATGATCGGGTGTGATAGGCTCTACGTTCAAATACAAAGGGTGCAAAACAGTTGCACACGCGGAATACTCAGGTTATACTTGACGAGCCAAGCATATACAAATATGGCCTCGGAACACGGAGACCGAAAGGTCGAGCGTGAATCATATAGTAGATATGATCAACATAGTGATGTTCACCAATGAAACTACTCCATCTCACGTGATGATCACTTAAAGGATTAAAGGGATGTCTATCTAAGTGGGAGTT